AGCATTTTGCTCAAAGGAAAAAAGAAATAAAAAAGTAAATACATGTTTTTATTTATTTATGTAACAACCACATACAAACTGAATGCTGTGTGCTTCTACCATGAGAATGGTGTGTCTCTCAGGACTATTTATTAATCTATTTTAGATTTATTAAAAATCTATATAAAATTAAATTCATTTAATTTATTTAAAGAAAAAAAAATTCTTCTAATCTAATTATTAACAGATTTTTTCATGAATGAATATTCTATCTATTTATAAAAATAATGTTTTAAAAAGTAATTTTTCAAAATATTTTTTATTTCTCTATTTTTTTTAATAACTCATTATATTATTAAATAATATTTTAAAATTTATAAAACTTGTTTTTTTATGTCAAAATGGTCTTTTAAAATCTCAATCCAATAAATATCTCATATTATTATAATAATGTAAGTTGTGATGGTGTTATATTACTCCCAATTATTTTGTGATGTTGAGTTGAGTTGTCAATGTTGAGAAACTCTGGGGTTTGAAGGTCCCTTTAGGACAAACACCTAGTGTCACCTCAAAAAGAAGAATATATAAAGTTTTTGTTTGGACAAAGTCTCATAAATTCATTTCTCTCAACTTTCTATAAAGAGGATTATAGAGAGAATATCTTTGGTCTATGAGTTTTTTTTTCTCTTCTTTTTCCTAATCTTTTCTAAGTTGTGTTGTTGTAATTCAGGTGGAATAAACATCGAATCAAACCGTTGAATTCATTGTGGAGCCAATCGTTCTTCTTCTACCGTAGAGTCGAGTTACCTGAGGTAAAGGAAGCTTGATTCTTGCTTTTGTGGGGTTGTTGGGCTGATTGATAGTTGTGTTTGTTATGTGTTGCATGAATTCATTTCAATTCATGGTTGTCTGATGAATAAAATCAAAGTGAGATGAGATGAAAGTTAGGGTTTTGGGTTCCTCGTGAAAAATGAGATGGATTGAGTTGATTTGAAGTTGCTTGTTGAGTTGGTGTACATTTTTTAGTTGATTTTGATGTACATGTTTGCTATTTTGTGTTGCATATGTTAGAAATTTTATGGATTTTAGGTTGTAGCTCAAAATCAAGTTCTACACATGCAAAATTTTGATGTTGCCCTGGGCGCGTTGTTCTAACTCAAGGCTCTTTATATCGATCACGTTGAGCACAATGTTGGTGGCCCCAAACGTGAGGAGAAAGACTCATCTCGTAATGAAACTACGTCGAGCGTGGTTGAATGGTGTTAAACATGGATGCCTTGAGAGTTTTTTGACTTGGTGACACTGGACCCAAGGTTGTTTGGTGCCCAGTGAGGCAAGTCAAAGCTCTCTATTTGGATTTTTCCAAGTGTCGAGGGGGTGACGTTGGGAGAGACTCAAACAAAGACTTTTTGCTTAAGATGGAGTTGGACGTGGTGTTTTACCATGCTAGGTGTGTGGTCTTAGGGGCCTCTACCTTAGTCACACTAGGCATAGGTTGTGTAGCGTTGGGCATCGACAAGGCAGAGAACTCCTTGCTTAGATGACGCTATGTGCAAGGTGAGTAGTGTCGGGCGTGAGTTGTTGAAGTAACACATGATGATTTGGTTGATAAAGTGTTGATTTCTTAATGGTTTGAGTTGTTATGTGATAATATGATGAATGAATTATAGAGATGCAGTAATATATGATGAGTTAGCTGTGAGTTGTATGTTGTGTGTTAACCATATGTGTGTCGACCATGTTGTGTGTTGACCAAGTTGCTTGTTGATCGTGTAGTTATGTTAAAAGTACAATGTGTTGTTGAGATGCATGTTGATTATAATGTTGTAAATGAGTTGTGATGACGAAGATATGAGTTGAAAAGTTGTGTGTTGACTGTGTTGCTGTGTTGAAGATATAATGAGTTGTTGTGTTATTGAGTTGTGTTGACCACTTAAAACTAGAAGAGATATTTTTGAAAGTTGCACATTCCATTATATGGATATTATGTTGTGGTGCTTCGAGAGTCCAATTTGTTAAAAAACTTTTATTGGGATGTTAACCCTTGAATTGGATGTTGTGTTGTTCTCCTCTAGGACTTTGTTGGTATCGTGGGTGGGTAAGGTCGAGATATACATGTATGAAACGACCATAGTATATGGGTCAGGTTGAGCTATACTAATTACAAGTGACCAATCGAGTAAAATACAAAGTCGAGAATGAAGTTTCTAACTGAGTATCAAAAGGTTGTAATATTTGGAGGGTAGTCGGTTGGCTAATCCCATAAGAGGCTTGGTTAAGTTAGCTAATATCATGATAAACTCATACTCAACTATTATATCCTAACATTAGTACTATATATCCTTGTTGAAGTAGTGACATCTAAGAAATTGAGTTTCTATGTTGTGGATTTATGTCTAATTTGTTGCTGATCTAGTAAGCAAAAAAATATCAAATTGTATTGTCGGTTCGATTCGGTAGGATCACCTTCTACGAAGGGCGACATTTTGATGACTACCTATTGGTTGTAGTCTTGTATAGATAGTGTAATTGTTTGATTGACAACTTAAGATGTATAGTAGACATTACTAGATTACTGTATTTATATTGCATCTGTTTATTTTCCTTATGTACTTGCAGTATAACACATATTTTAATACTTGTATATCTATAATTTTAAGTTAGATGTTTTTGGTTGCTAGTTGTTGTGTCATAAAGTATAAGAACCAAATTGGGTCATTACAATTATAATCCAATCAATTTTGCAAAAGTAGTAAATATATTACTAGCCATCCATAAAATTAAATGGATGAATTAAATCCAATCCATAATTTATTTTTATTATAATTGATGAATTGGATGAATTTACTAATAATAGATGGATAGGACAAATGATGAATAAATAAATTTATTTATTAATTTATAATTCAACTCTAATATTACAATTTTATTATATCTATAACTATTTTATTAAAATATGTTGTGGAATTTAACAAATTAATTTAATCTTTATATTAAAGGAAAAAGAGAAATGTTAGTCAGCATTTTACTCAAAGGAAAAAGAAATAAAAAAAAAGTGAATACATGTTTTTATTTATTTATGTAACAACCACATACAAACTGAATGCTGTGTGCTTCTACGATGAGAATGGCGTGACTCTCAGGACTATTTAGGAACTCATTTTATATAGAAAATCCTCAGTATTTTTCTTGTATTCATTATACAGGTTACAGACATGTGAGGCGACAAAGATGGAATTTAGATTCTCCCATTTTAAATATCAATCTCTTCTAATCAATTATTAGCCTAATCTTATTGGTCATCCTCATTTTAACTTAGCAACATCGAATCCTTGTGCTATAAGTATCATCCATAAGTGTCATATATGTTTCTTATCATTTTAACTTTTCTTTAAAAGGAATCCTACATTAATAACCCAATATAAGATTGTAATATGGGTCGGTAATACTTCCAAATCACTTACCTCATTACTAACACATATTCATTGAAATTTATTAAAAATATAAAACTTTAAATAAAGAATTAAGATATAAAACAAAACTAAAAAAATAATTTTAAAATATAATTTATAACATATATTTGTACCAAAAATAAATAATTATGACATATATTAATATAAAAAATAAATTAAATCAAATTAATT